CAATTGTCAAAAAGACTTATAATATATGACAGTGTTTGTTTACATCATAATACAATTACTCTCTAGCATAATACACTCAAAATTATCATTTAAAATAAAAATTTAAGATAAAAGTTTCCATCAAAAGTAAGAGTATATTTTGGTCATATAGATTTAACATATACAACAAATCCAACATATAAAAACATTCAGTTATAAGTATGGTTATCATACATTCACGATGATTATCCATTTACTGTACTACTCAACATCTTATATATTTATTTAGTTGTATAATCATTATCTCTTAAAATATTCATCCAGTGTATAAAAAGAATTTAAATAAAGAAATTCCTTTAAATTGTTTTTAAACTTATTTATATCATTAGAAGTTACTTTAATCTTATTAGGTAGTGCATTGTAAATCCTTATGGTCATTTGAATTACCCTATTACCAATGTGATGTGCATATTGCAGCTTAATTGGTGGGCATTAGTGAAAAAGGAGTAAAGGTCATATCAGGACTGCATTCACATATGATATTTTGTCATTCAGTTTTCCCTCCTTTATAATGTAAATGAAGTTATAGAAGTATGGGCAGCTGTGCAGCAGAAACCTTTCATATCTACACACACCCTCATTATGCAACTAATGTTCACTTATAAATAGCCTGCTACTTTCGACAATATAATGGCAACCCATCAGAATGTGATTCATGACCCCATAGATTGAGAATCATTGTTTAAAGGCTCTCCTGTAAAGTGAAAGTAAAAAGTAAAACTATCCCTGTAACAGGCCGTGAAGGCCCATAGGGTTGTGATATGTTGAGGGTCCCACATTATCTAGACAATTGGCTCAAAGATGGCGGTAAGGTTATCAGCCTTATGCACCTGCTGCACTTTACTCCCCAGGAAAATTATTTAATTAATTCCTGGTATTTATTTCTGTTAGAAGCTGAGTCGACCCCAGGACCATAGTGCGGCTAGAAGGATTAGGTCAATTGAAAAAATCCAGTGGCCTCATTGAGACTTGATACAACAGGGAATCAATGGAAGTGTTATTTGTGAAAGCTGTAACTAGAGATAGGAAGTGTTAAATTGGATTTCCAATTGACATTTCGCTCTTAAGTAAGAAAAAGAAAACCTGTTACTTACATTTTGATATGTGAGGTAGCCAACAATGACTGGTGATATAAAGCCAGGAACAACACTGATCATATTACTTATTCCCAGCATGACACCTGCAACACCAGTAAAAGTTGTAATCATGAAGATGTACAGTAAGCCCTTGCCTTACAGTGTCCCAGTTAAAATTGTTTCATTATTACAGTGATATTGTGACATAATGCACTATGGAGGACATCCCCTCCCCCGCCAGCGGTGACATGGCATTGGAGAGCTGCCGCTTCTACGGTAACAGGACAGTCAACACCCCACCCTCCTACCCGCGGTGACGTGGCAGCGCTGCCTACTGTGACGTAACATGCGACACTGCTGTTGACACAGGCAACAGCGAACGGTATAAAAATCCATCTGAGCAGTATGTGAGAAAGTGTATGAGCAGGAGGGACACAGTGCGGATTGAGCAGGCACCGGAGACAGTTGAATTGGAGCAGTCGCTGAGTTCAGTTGTAGCAGAAAGAAGAATACCGGAACGTGTGATTAGAAGTGATAGTGTGAGAAGGTATTGGGAGTGTGTGATACAGTGACACTGGTATAGCTCCCGTATTGTACTGTACATGAAGACTACTGGAGACACAGTGAATAGATTAGTGTGTAGGGTTTGTAAATTGTGTAAACCTGCAGCTGTGTTATAATTAATTGTAACTATGATTTGTAGGTTGTTAAATAAACCAATTAACAGTCTGAACAGCATCTTCAGTAGCAAAACACGTCACAATATTGTCACATATAAGGCGTAGTGTGAGTAATAATTGTGGATTCTAGATTTTATGGCTGGATTTATTTGACATCACTATTACAATTACACTCGATTATAACAGTTGACATATTCAACTCCTCCTGGATAACGAATCCCTCTCTGCGAAGTTCTGCTTAGTTCTCAAAGGTGAACCGTCTGAAGACGATTCAAAGGGTTCGCCCCGTGAAAGGCGTCATGGAATTGCAGTCAACCAAAGCCAATGCTCATATATTTCTTGTAAAGTTCTTTTCAATGATGTCACGTGACCTTCCCCCTCTTTTTTCCTTCCTCCTCTTCTTGTCATGGCAAGATGACACGAACGATCGCTCTCTTTCCCTGGATGGCGGTCGTGCAGGGTGGTTGTCCCTGCTCTTAGAAATTTCTGTTTGGTTTCTTTCCCCCCCCCCCAAAAAAAAATTAAATTAATTTTTGGAAGTCAGCGCTGTGTGTCCCGGGAGAGGGCCCCTTTGCCGAGCTATGGAGCAATGGCGAGGCAAAGGTGTTTTATATAAATATTGTAACATGTTGCGCGACTGAGAACCCCCCTCCCCCCTCCTCTCCACGGTAACGTAGCGCTCCCCGCC